CTCCACAGAATACTGGACTTCATGAACTCCGAACACGTGCTGGCCACAGCAAACATCTGCATGTAACTTGCAGCTGCCAGAACGTCGATGATATTCTCCGTGCTAATGGACAGGGTAGACGTGTAGGCATATTCCAACAGAGGAGCGAAGCCACTGACGGTCACATGGTGAAGGTCCAACACAAACTTGTCCTCCTCCTCAGACCGGCCCACCAGTTTGGAGCGGAAGAATTCACTGCAGCAGGCCAGGACCACTTTGTGGGCCAGGAAGAGCTTGTCTTGGACCCGGATGGTGACATCACATAAGTGACCCTCGTTGCGTAAAGCGTTGAGCTTCTCCAGCATCTCCTGGCTGTGGGAGGTCGAGCTGTGGGTGAAGGTTTTGACCCCCATGTTGGAGTCAGTTTCTGACTGTGTACAGGAAATGCCTCCTGCAGAGAGATAGAGAAAAAACAAAACCCTTCAGTTTCCACAAAGCTAAACCACATGAGCTGTATGAAAGTAGATCAATGTTAACAAAAATATTTTTCTACACTTTGTTATTCTTTTGTGTCAAGTTCTTTACACCATTATAGTTTGTATATAGCAATGTCAATGTGTCTAATGATTACCTAACTAAACAAAATCCAGGCCTAGCAGATAAAGAATCAGGTGTGAAATAACAAATGTCACAGTGGACTCTCACTGAACCACTCCATTGGAAATCAAGAAGCGCAAAGACAGAATGAGATGTCAAATATCACTCTGCAAGACTGGATGAAAAGAGGCATGTGCACTGTGGAAAGCAGTGGGTGTAGGTAGAGAAATACTAAGGTGCTCTGTGAGAGGAAGGCAAGGCAAGGGGGGGTGAAAGCAGGGTAAGGAGCACAGAGGACAAAATGCCAAGTTACGTAACAACAATCAAAGCAGATGCGCAGCGATGCGAGCCAGACCCATGTGGAGGCCAGTGCACTACAGGATGCTCAGCAGCTGTCTGCGAGACATGTGGATTCTCTGAGGCATGAGATTTTCCATCAAACAAAAGCTCAAGTAAAGGGGCTCTCGCAGGGAGAGCGCACTCCCCTTTACACACACACAGACCAAAGGAAAATACTCTTGGGCTATGTTGGCCCAGTAAAGGCAAAGTGAATTATAGACCTGGGCTGTGGAGGTGCAACAGGAGAGTGGCTAGGCTGCACCAGCAAACAGGGTTACAAGTAAAGAGCTTTAGTTCCACCATAGGGTTCTCTCAAGGCTAACATATCTCCTGTAGGAGAACTATTTAGCTACATGATCTCTATTCAGTTGTTCCTGACAAAAAGGAATGTTCATGCAGAGTACATGAACTTGAAGGAGAAGTGATGCATGCAAATTAAATCTGGTCTGATGTTTAAAAAATTATACTAATGTACCCTCTGGCATTTGTCTTTAAGAAAGGATATATACAATTATTCTACAAAAATGTCAAACTTTTTTGAGCTGCAACAATTATTTTCATTATCAATTAATCCGTCAATCATTTTCTCGATTATTCAGTTAGCGGTTTGGTCCATCAAATGTCAGAAAATTGTGAAACATGTTGATCAGTGTTTCCCAAAGCCTGAGGTGACGTCCTCAAATTTATGTTTTGTCCACAACCCAAAAATATTCAGTGTATTGTCAAAGAGGAACAAAGAAAGCAGAAAATATTCACATTTTAAAGCTGAAATCAGAACGACTGAAAATGATTAACTGATTAACAAAATAGTTGATTAATTTAATAGCTGACAACTAATCTTTTAATCAACTGTTGCAGCTCTAAGTAAAAACAAATATACTTTGCATTGTCTTTTTTTTCAGTATCAACACGTCACCAGTATCAGCCGGTAAAGGCTTTAATATGAAATACTGTATCAGCCCGAAATTAACCTCCCTGCTGAAATGACAGGTCGATAAGATCATACTTTAATTATGCACACTTTGACGCGAGAATGCCTGCAGTGTGGAGGCTTTTTGAGTGTCTGAAATGGATGCTGCTATTGCAACGACTGCTCAGAGTCGGTCACGCTTGGAGGAGCCAAATCGCATTCCCTTACCGCCCATCCTAAGAGCTGTCATCCCGATCATTACGACAATTTTGTGTAGAACAAATAGAAATAGGCACCGGTGAAATAAACCTGAAAGCAGTATTTTTCTTATTTTGCCCAGTGAATTCTGAAAAGCATTGCATCTTATGTCTGCATCTGCCTTTGGACCATCATGATAAGAGTAGGTATACTAATGTTTCCCACTACAGGAGATACTTGGTCTCTGCATCTGGAATGGACAAAAAAAATTGTTGGAAAATATTGGCATATGGGCAAAAATCATACAATAACAAGCTGTTCATCAAGAAAAATGATATGTGAGGATTTGCTGATTGTTTCTGTTTCACTTCATTATACATATTTTACACATTTTGTTTTCTTCTTTGGGTCATATAAGCCATTTGAAGACATCACTGGACCATTTGTTTTGATCAGTTATTACCATTCTATATAATAGTAGACCAGCTGATTAACCAGTGACTTTGTAACTAAGAGTCAGCAACAACAGTAGGAAAACTACTCAAATTTGGCAGTAAAATGATGATGGCGATAGGGCAGAGGAGGCGTAGTCTTCAATCTGGTACTTTTACTGTGTTTACATCACACAAGAGACCACAAGCGCTGGGCTGAAACACATTACAGAGGGCTGGTAGTTAACATGCACCCACAACGCACAGAGGCTGTATGTATGTACGGCGTGCGGGCTAAGTATCAAGTGAGCAAGATGTTGAACAAACATGTTTGCAACAACAACACAGCTAACAGTGTCAAGCCATCTCGCCAAATCAACCAGGAGATGAGAAGTAGATCCGATTTCCTGTCAAAATAAAAGACAAGTGACCATACTGAAATGCTTTTTAGCTTGGAGTTTTATTTAAAACGAATTGAGTCGTGCTCAAACACTGTAGTGCATGAAAGTATGTTATTGGAATATCTACTCCTTTCATTGACTATTCATATTTAGATCATTTAGGTCATTATTACCAACAATTTGGGTGGTATTTAAAGTTAAAGCAAGAACGTTTAAGAAACTATCATTCATCACTTACAGACTGACCCGTGTTACTCTATTCATAAAAAAGTTCTGTTCTTGTACTACAACTATATTTTCCTTTTCCAATGTACCGATACATACATTCAAACATTAAAATACACATGACACACTTTTTATGAAGTAGCGAAAATAAAGAATTCAATTTACCCCATTTATTTTGAAGCCGAATAAGCTTCATTTCCGGTTTGACCGTGGATAACTCTGGATACGTCGACGCGGTTGACGTACATTAGCTAACCGTCGTTAGCCACCAAGCTAGCGCTAGCTGACACAGCGTCGTACGATTAGTCGGTTCCTCTGCCTTCACCAACGCGTCAACAACAATGTAGCCGAACTCAAGTGTTCACAGCGGGGTTATTGTTATCAGACAGACTGTGCGAAGGGGATTTACCTTCTGGGATGAGGCCCGCGAGAACGGCTGGGCCTCGGGATGCGAACAGCTCAGCTGACAAAAAGCAGCGATAGTCGGAGACAGCGGTGCGCCCTGCCGCTTCCCTCCGCTCACTCACATTCCCCGCGCTTCTCAGGCAGTTGTCAGCCTGCCAGCCGCCTAAACTCACAGTTTAATTAACGCTCACATGAATTCACATCACAACAGGCTGAAGTTAAAAGTTTTCGAGGTGCTGTTTTCACTCCTTTGTGCTCCCCGCTGTCCTTTCTGCGCTGTATTTGTATCCCCACAATGCAACGCGCATCTCTCACGGTACTGTACTGTAAGAAGCAGGAAGTCTCACATCTAGCAACAACACACTGCTCAGGAATTCCCACTGTTTATATTTATTTACAAACAGCTTATGTGGCCTTCTGTTAACTGTTAATATAATCATAACATGCACAAATGTTTTATGTGCTGTAAATATATTGATTTTCTTCATATTAAAGTATAGTAGTATATTATACTTATGTTTCTTATGTATTTAGAGGACATGAGGACATACAATGTGTTCATACTGCCCCACATCCCTTTTTTTTCTTTATTTATTTTTATTAATCATTTTAATGTTTTATATGTTTTCGAGTGTCAACAATACTTTTACTTTTTGCTGGAAAAAAACAAACAATTCTTCACATGACCGTGTTCCCTATTTTTTAGTTCCTATTTTATATTTGTTAATGTCAGACACAGAAAGACTTCCCCCAGCTCAAATTCGACAGACTGTAAAAACAACAGAGAGAGTAATGGAAATAGATTTCTGTCCCTGACAAAATATGATTTGTTGTATTTTATAAATACATTAAAATGTTGTCAATAATTAGAGAAAACCTTATGTATATATATATATATATATATATATAGATAGATAGATAGATAGATATTATGGGCCTGTTGGTATTGTATTTCTAACCCATTATGATTTTCACATCAGCTCAGTCAGCTGTGAATTGAATAAGACTTGCATTAAAAATAGGATATTGTAAAGTCACTGTTGTCTGTTAAATGGAGGTTCCTCCAAACCCACAGCTACTGAGTATGTTTTTATATGGCTGTCTTTATTTCAGATGTCTGAGCTGAGTTATTCCAATGTGGGAGGATTTTACTGAATATCTTAAGGGTTTTCAGTTTGTAAAACCAGCAATGAAATCGGCCTCACCCTGCTTTTAAATGCTGCCTAGCCACCTACAAGAATTCCATTAGTCTGGCATTCATTGGTGGGTTTCAGTGGCCCACAATAGTCTAAAAGAGTGCTCTGGAAAACATAGAAAACTTGAACACTTGTTTGGAATTTATGGGTCATTATGGCTCCTCCTGATATTGGCACAATTGTTGATATGCACCCACCGGTCTGGACACAAAAGTCCTTAATGAAGCCTTTGTGCACAACAGAGCAGATGAAAGACATTTGGAGAAATGTTGCGCAAAGTTTCCTTTTTGTTCTCAAGTTGAAATAAAAGAGAGTCATGTACTGACATAAATGTGTTTATTTGACCATTTTTATAGACAAAAATCTCAAAGACAGCAGCATCTGCCATGTTAATTACATGTCCAAGGTAAAAACTTTACAAAAATAAATAGCTTAAAAAGGAAGCTGTTATAATAAAATAGTATGGTCCTTCACTGAAGGGATATAGGCCTAATGCTTCATCTCTTTTGTTTTATAACATACTGTAAATTAACAACAGGAATGAAGAAATCAAATATACATACAAAAAAAATGAAAACAACTGTGAGTGTTTGCATATGATGCATTAACAAATAAAAGTCTGGAAATGAATAAAATTAATGTTATTTTTCATATACATGATAGATAGTATGCTTATCACTTAACTTAGTAATAACACCTCCGAGGAAACATTTGTTGCATTGCAGATTGTTTGTACCACTGTTCCTCTCAACGGCTTTATAATGCACCTGGGAAAAGGATAAAACTAAACTACAGGGCAGAGGGAAAGTCTCTGTCATGTGTTTTTTCGGTCATGACTGGCCAGTCATTATCTAGGCTAATTCTTTTTACATACCGTGTAAACTCAGATTTCTACCAATTCTACGCATCTAGTTTGGCATTGAAACAATCTGTTCTGATGTAGGCTCTAACTAGTACAAGTTAATATCAGATTTAAAGTCACTCAATGGTTTCCCCATAGTTCAACCATGCTATGTTTCAGGATAAAAACGTGACATCATCACAACACAAGTCACATTTTTGTATGTGTGTAGAAAAGAGAAGCAATCAAACAGGAGCGCATTTCCCAGAGACTTAAAATCCCAATGCATCAATCGTATATACCTACACCAATAATAGGTAAATGGCTCGATCAAAACTTTGTAGGGGTTTGAGTTCTGTGGAAGACAACTGGAGGTATATTTACACTGTGCTGGTGTTTGACAGCAGGTTTCATGCCATTGCTCTAGCCCCAATTTAAGTGACAGCTAACTAAAAAAGACATACTGAAATAGATTATATTAGACTTCAGTCAAAAAGTTAGTTTCAATTCAAAGTGGGACTAGAAAACTTCTCTTTCAGGAGAAAACACACACAGCACCTTCATCTAGCATCTATACATGGCATCACATGTACATCCTGAGGTAGATTTCCATTGTTTCAATTCTCAATAGTGGTTGTCAAATGTCAACAAAAGATGACAAAACAATATTCAGGCAAATGCCCTTAATGGGACTTGATGCAACCAGCTGGTAACATAGATGGATTATGAGACAATGGGCTCCGGGGCACAGACGCAGTTGAACCACATTTTGAGCCCAGAGACACAAAACGACTTTGAGATGTTTGTAGTTGTCTTTCCACTTACTTTACTTTACAGTCATTTTGTGTCTGATTGTGGTCGTTTTGAGTTTCTTTTTTGTTGTGTCTCTGAAGTCATCTTATGTCTCTTTGTGGAAATTTAGCATTTCTTTGTAGTCATGTTATGTCTCTTTGTGGTCATTTTGTTTCTCTTTGTAGTCATTTGTGTCTCTTTGTGGTTGTTTTGTGTGTCTTTTTTAACACTAATTTTTGTGATGGTTTTATGTCTCTTTGTTGTTGCTTTGTGTCTTTTTGTGGTCATTTTGTGTCTCTTCCCCCAAACCCCTTGGGCTTCTGTGTCCCTGTGCCCATTCAGTAATCCATCCATGGTTGGTAAGTGCAGTCAGACCATAAAGGGAAAGTTCGCTGTACTCATGTTCCTCATAAGCAGTCTTGGTTGAGACATTCTCCGGAGACTGGCTCTGGGATTTTACTTGGATTGCACTTCTCTGGCTCAACAGTCTTCCCAGTGTAGTCTATGCAGAAGATGCTGCGACGGCGCTCCCCCTGACCACAAGTTCGTGAGCAGGCGGACCATGGTCCCATCTGCCATATGGGGCATGGCAGATCCCCACAAGGCCTGATGTCTACTGGCTTCAGGTCTTTGTCGCACTGGCTGGAGAGGAAGCCTGCGCTGTCTCGGCATTCAACGTTCCTCCTGGACCATCCGGAGCCACAGCTCTTGGAGCACTCAGACCACTCCCCCAGTACCCAGTCAGTCACGCCAAATGGATGGATAATATGCAAAGACGATGAAGAACCCTTCTTTTCCTTGGATTTGTTGAAGGTCACATCTCTAGGGATGAAAAAGGTATATTTGACCTTGGGAGGGTTGGCGTCCCCAGCTGTGGCGAGGAGTTGGATGGTGATGGCCTCCTTCAGCTGCCTAAAGCTCTGGACTCTCTCCAGCGTGGTGGAGGAGCCGCTGTACTTTAGCACAGCACCCAACACCGGGATGTCCTGCTCCACCGTGGATACAGAGAAGTTCCCGTTGAGGATGTAACCACCACTCTCTCTCTTTATAGCCAGGTAGTTCCCATCATGTTTGATTCCTCTGTGGCTCCGCTGTTTGATGTCAATGTTAGTAGCGTCAGCAGGAATTGTAACAATGTCACTGTATCCATAGCTGGTAGAGAAAACAGAGGACTGCATTTAGATAATTGGAATACTATGTTTTCTTATTTTAAAGAAATAGTTCAACAGTTTGGGTCATATTTTTTCTCTTTCTGAGAGAGTGTAGATGAGAAGTTAAGTACCCTCACCCAGTTGGGGGGAAGCAGTAGTCTGGCGTCTACTCACAAAGAGAAAAAAATAATCCATCTACTAACACCTGTAAAGCTCACTACTTAATCCAATAGTGGTTAGCACACAGACATGAGATTGGTTTTGATCTGCTCGCTCATCTAACTCTCAGTGAATATGTGTATTTTTGACAATGTTCTGTTTCTTTTCAGGTATACGTGTTCATTCCTTTGTTCCTTCTTTGACTAGCTCTTTTATTAGCTCTTTCTAACCTATATCAGTAGAGAAATATTGGTCTAATAAGCCACAGTGTAGAATAGTATTTTGCCTGATTTTCCATAGTTTTTATTTCCATCAAAATAACTCTCATTACTCTCATTGCTCCCATCAGATTAGAGAAGGTTCACATTATAAAGAGGCTTAAATATGCCTCTGGACTAGTCTAACACCTGAATTAAGCTGCGCTTGTAGATGGTGCAGTGTTCTCTTTTTTTCATTACAGTACATGTTCAGAAAACACACTATAGACTTGCTCTGTAACTGTAGTGCAAGGAAATGCATATATATACATTTCACTGACTCTGAACTTCCCTGTAACTACATGTGCATGCATACTTTATTGTTTTTCATATGTGAGGGATGTTTTCAGACTTACGTTGCTTTGTTGTAGGAGCCTGTGATCTTTCTACAGGTGAGCCCACTTCCTCCACACACTCCACACTTATCCACTCTCTTGTTGGATCCAATGACCTGGTCGCAGCCTGCCTTTACACACTGGCCTCGGACACAGACAGATGTGGTGTCAGGGCCACAGGTTGTCCCGTCAATCACCTGCAGGGACCCAACAAGTAGACGTTGTTGATTCCTTTATCGCAAGTGTTACGTAACAGTCAGACTTACCTGCATCAGCTCATATTCTATTTTAAGACAATGGGTACTGGCAAAGAGTCATAACTGAATGTCTGTATATCAGCTTTTTATGGAGCTTGGAGTAAGATAACTATTTATATTATTATTACTATTTTATTCTGATGATACTTGTTTCTACCGAGTGCTCACTTAACTCTATTTTAGGCATCTTTACCAATGCTACATGTTTGGCTTTCCTTGACCCAGTATTCTTTATACTAACGTTCTAATATATAAATATAATTGCGTTTCATTATTGTTGTCTCCGTGCTTTTGTAGTCATTTGTGTTTCTCTGTGGTTGTTTTGTGTCATTTTATGGTCATTTATGTCTTTCTATTTCAGACTGAATTTAACATCAGATCAATATTGGGACATGTTAGCTGTAGTGTGAACCTAACATGTTGCTGTGTATCAGCTGCATAAATGCATAAACTTTACCTTGGATTCAAACACCTTGAATTCACTGCTGCCCCTGGCCCTGCAGAACAGCTTACATCTGTCTCTGGGAGAAACACCGGCGTACTTCGGTATCCACTGTTTCATGTTCCCGTTGTAGTCCAGGTAGTTGGGGCTGTTGTATTTCTCACACTGCTCCTCTCTGAAGCTCTTTCCTAAAGGTAAAATTTGTAGTAAAGCTTAGTGCACAATGTAATGAGGTCAACTCGCTGACAGGAAGCTCTTATACTATAATATAAATATAATAATCCCTCGCAAATTATCTGCCTTGACCAGTTGTGGGGGAAGAGAGAGAGAGAGAG